CTGTGACTAGAGACCACTATTGCATTTTTGAATTTTCAAATATAAAAGCATCTTCCTTTCTCTTCAGGCTGTGTGTGCGTATGGCTACTAAGGGTTATAGATTCAGTCTGCTAATTTTTTTCATCTTTCATACTTTTTAATCTTCATATTTTAATCTTCATATCTTCTTTAATGTTTCATACTGTATTATTTCTAGTATTTGACTTCCCACTGTTAGTGATCTTTTTTAAAAAAAAAAGCTTCGGAGAAGGGATTTTTTTTTCAGTGTTGTCAACAACTAAGTCATCGTAGGTGTTTTGCTCATGTATTTAATTCTACCCGACAACTTGCAGATGTGTGGTCATTCACCATCACTCTTTCTGAGACGTGCACTGGAGCCTGGAGCGAGGATGGGGGCCCCACTCTCACCCCACTCTCCTTCTGTTACTAAACAGCCAGGAAGCAGAGGCATTAAAGTGTGACAGCACTTGTAGGCAGCACGACACGCTGAGTTATCCTGTCCAAATGTTATCAGGTTTCACCTTTGACACAGGCACCAGCTGATCTTGCTATAGAATAAAATATTCGTAACCTTTTTACTTTAATACATCTAATAATATAGAAATTTTCATTATTTCTTTTCTCTTCCACACTCATATTTCACCTAGAATACTTGAAAATACAGGTTTACCAATATGTTACATAGATTATCTTTTTTGTCTATTAACACAAACCTTTGAAATTTCAAATTCATGTTAATTTCTAGAGGCATAGGGAGAAATGTGAAAGATTTAAGGAATTTGAAGATCAGAGCAAATTTGTATTTAGGTAATTGTAAATTCATGAATAATATTTAAAATATACTTAAGAAAATTTAATGTTTAAATTACATTTATCTTAAATGACACAGAACCGTACATAATATTTACAATATTTTAAAGCAAGTCACAAATGTCTGCTAGGTCCAAGAAGTTTCCCAGGAAATCATATTTCTCTTTGGATGAGGTGATACTGTAGAAATTTTTTAGTGATGGGCTAGGGAAGATTTATTAAGGAATCTTAAGCCTTTTTTTAAGTCACAGGACTCCCTAATAATTATATGAAAGGGACAGATCTAGGAAAATGCATATAAGCACAAATACAGTATTTGCAAATGATTTCAGCTTCTTCACAATTTCACCAGAGATCATTCATAGTACAAGGTTAAGTTCACAGCAAGACATGGGACATGAAAAAAGAACTAATTATTTCAGTCTATCTTTGTTTTTAATAATACCGAATACTTTCCATTAGAAGTAATAAATTACTTTTAAAGCTGTATTTATTTTTCTCGCCTTGAGTATACCAGTTTAGAAGAGAAGAAATGCTCTCATAAGTATTAACTTAACCCCTAAAAAAAAGTTCTGGTTTTGTACTTTCTTAATTGTAATTTGCTTAATTGTAATTGCTGAGTTGATATTTGACATATGTACATTCATTTGATTAAAACGCCAGAGTTTAAAAATCACAGTGGATGTAAAGTTGACCTAAAAAAAAATGGATTAAATTCAATAAATATCTTTTAGGTAAATTAATATCTCCCTTTTAAAAAGCACGATTTATTCAACATTAGACACACCGTTCAGCTTGTGGAAAGCATAGTGAAAAATTCCAGCTTAAAAACAAATGTTTTGTATAAAAATACAATGTTAATCTCACCTTGGGGTGTAGGGGAAGTGAATTGTTTCTGTTACTATCAGGCTGTCGGCAGTGTTAGCTGAAATACCCTCTACAGTAAACATCCTTATCTTTAGAAAATTTTATATGGAAAGTATATTTTCAATAAGAGACTAAGAGAAATTGCATGATAATTATATTTGTTATAAAAAGTGGGAGGGATTATTTCACTTCCTAGTATGTGGCAGTTTTGAAATTTTTTAAAAAAGTCCTCCAACTCTTACAATCTTTTTATAAAGGAATAGTAACGGATACTTGAATGATTTTGTTAGTTTACAATGCTCCCAGCATTCAGAATGCTCCTAATATGTGAATTTAATGCTAGGATTTGTGGGAGAATTTGGAAATATTTTATTTCATAATTTAATTTTGCTGTTGGCATTAAAATTATTAATATAAAATTTTTAAATGATGATCAGCAACCGTCCTTTTCAAAGTAAGAAATTTGAGCTCTCTGGACTGTGGTTAATTTTACTTAAAGTGAGATACTCGACAGATAATCATATTCCAAAGATTCAATTCAGTTTTAATCATTACTAAGTATCTATTATTCTCCGTATAAAAAATGTACATTAATAATGTCTTCCAGTTCAAATTTGTGATAAATCTTCTATTTCAGCTCATAAATATTTCTTCCTATTTAGATTGACACACCAATAATGCAGAAATAATGCCATTTTATTCCACAATCTACAGTTGAAAAATAAAATGCAAAGTAAACAAAATCTGTAGAAAAGTTAAAGAACTTTCAAATTCACACTAAAGCTTCTTCATTGATGTTAATGAAAAAAAAGTACTGAAACATGACAACTTGTATAAACAATTCTTCTTAGAATACACACTAATGTACACATCATCAGGAAATAATGAGACATTGTGTTTTTTAATGTGAATTATATGTAATTATCTGACCTTTTAATATGAGTAAGTCAATGATAAGCTGTTTGCATTTTGCATCTTGGAATCTGAGACCAAGAGATGAGGATGTAACAGAGAAACTGCGTTTTTGCTGGGGAGTCAAGGAAGTCTACTCATGATTTTGCAAAGAAACAAATTTTGGAGATTTTCTTTCTTTGACAGCTTACATGATAGTAATTTGCACATGTTCAAGGATAAGGATAGTATATTAGTCATTTTAGGGAGGTCAAAGTGAAATCATTTAAAACCATTTTAGGATACATTTTAGTTAGACAACCACTGCCTTCTTAATATTTAGTTTTGACTTTTGCAAAATACAGATTTAAGTTCAGCCACATCATAAGCTAAGAAACCCTATTTGAGGAAGTGACGTGCTAATCCTGGCGAGGTTCAGTCGCCAGGACTGTGTCAGACCACTTCAGGCTGTAGCTCTTGGGAAATCGTCTTTTCAGTGTTCGGTAACAGTCCTTCCTGAGAATGACATGATACCAAAGGTGAAGGTCACAAAGCTATGGGCTAATCAGTGTCAAGATTTTCTTAAAGTGAAATTAATGTCTTGCTGAGAATATTAAGCTAACATCATTTAAATTCACTTTTATCGCTAGTGGAGATGACTTGGAATTGCTTAAATCTTTAGCCGTAGAATGCTGCTGGTTAGAGTCCTTTGGGCTTTCTCACAGCCCCGAGCGAACCACCAAGCAAGTGCCCAGGGGCCCCACATCACAGGCAGAGGGCAGAGAACAGATCTGTGTACGTTTTCCCACTTGGTATATTGCTTTCTGTAAATACAACTCACGTTTTTCAATAGCTTTGCCACAATTCCCAGCTGCTCTCTAGTAGCATTTTGCTTTTAATACTTATTATGACTCCTTATATATTGTCAAGTAATTAATGCATTTCTGAGCTGCTTTTCTCAAGATTTCTATTGAACAATTCCTTCATCATAAGTCCTCGTTTACTATCCCTGAAGTCAGTATTTTCAAAGCAAGTGTGCATCATTGCTTAATTCCCGTAACTGTGACATTAGAAATTTAAATTGTCTATCTAATTTACTGAGTTTAAACAAAGCTAAACATCTAGTAATTTGGCCTTTAAAGTATGATTAAAACATTTACCCACATATTGCAAACCATGTATTTATCTCGTGGGCTATTAGTCTGTATTTGAACACACCAAAAAAGCTACAGATTTACTTAATTCTTACAATGGATGTCAGTGTCCTTTTATCAGAAATCACAGGCCATGTTTATTCATTGCAATGGAAAAAAATTGCCAGCAAGTATCTTTATGAACTCCTTGTAAGAGATGAAATCAGCAGCCAAGCCAATCAGATCTATCAGGGTTTCCATCATCCTTTAAATGATGGGGCCTTTCGGTAGATGTCCCAATGCATTTATCACAAACACTGTGGCTCTGGTCATGTTCATGTGTATGTACACACCTTAAAAATCATAGCTCTTGTTGGAGAGATTGAAGAGTCTGAAATTGGCAAAAGGTACATTGTGAAAAATAAACAGAGGCCTCACACACCACAGGTATATGTGCATGACTGATTCTTAGCTCTTCATCTGTAAAAACTAAGCGGTTTGGGATGGATTCTGGCTTAAAAGAACTCATCCTTGATGGAAGGCTGTGATTCTTCCCATCCCAACACTCTCACCTGCTACTTGGGAGCTTGATAAAGGCTTCCGTGGAATACACTTCTTTACATATTCTAAATTAAAGAGCTAACATTCAATACCACAGTTTCAAAAACTATGAATTTCATCTATGTGGTCACAGGCATAGCTGTCAAAAATAGAAAACTAATCTTTTCTCTCAGGGAGTCCCTTTTTTAAGATTGGCAAATACCCATGAAAAGCTGCTGGTAGAAATGAACGATTTCGTAAGAAGGCCTCAGAAAAGCAGACACTCTCCAGTTAAAACAGTTTTGGGGTGACTTCTGTGACAGAGGATGTTAAGCGGTGTGCAGTGCATGTAAATAAATGTGTGCGTACATGTGCGATGTGCTCAGTCTGCAGACTTGTTTTCTCTATATGTGTCCGTGCAACAACCAGCTGATTAAACAGAAGGCCTATTTTCACAATTAGATTTTGTTCCACATAGTCGTTTATGAACGGGGTGGAAATCATTTCCTGTCAGATGAAGGACTAGGCTCCCTTGCTTTTGTTACTAACACCTGTGCTCCCGTTCTGTGTGATCTGAGTCATGTTCATCTTTAGAGCCAGAGTGGCTCACATGGTACATCCTGCCTTTTGTTTATGAATCACGTTATTGCTAAATTTCATTTCCTTGAAGTCATATCAAAAGCATTGAAATCTTAAGCCATTCGGTTCCTCGAAGCTGCTTCCTGTGTTTTAATAGACTTCCATTGTGTGTTTTTGCAGCAAGCTTAGTAGTGGAGGAACGAACAAGACAGATGAAAATGAAAGTGCATCGATTTAAGCAGACAACAGGGTCTGGTTCTAGTCAAGAACTTGATCGCGAGCAGTATTCCAAGGTAAACCCAGCCATATCCAACTCGTAGTTTCCCTACTGAAAAATTACACTGTGTGTAGCAGGCAGGACAGGCAAGCACCGAGGAGTCCGAGAGCAGCTGTCGCTCACGTGGCGGTCCTGCATCGTACCCTCTCTCCTCATGGTGTTTTCACACGACACGACTTTGCTAAAATAGGATTCATTAACTTAGATTAAATGTTTTTCTGAAAACAAGATAAGAATACTTGGTATTAAAGTCAGTGATGGATTGTCAGTAGTCACCGTCACACAAATAAGCAAGGTACATCAAGCCATTTAATTGCTTGAAGATTGTTGAATATTGTAGTTAAAATATTAAGATACAGATGTATAGTCTTAAATACTATTTGAGGTTGATATTTCTATTGATATTTGTTAGTGAAGGACAGAAATTATGTGATGTGAGATTTCTTATCGATCTGTCTTTAGTTAAGAAAAGTAACTGATTTCAAACTCTTTGAAACTGAAATCCACACCATTTCAAGGAGCAATAAACATTTAATTTATATTTCAATATTGCTTTGTAAGGATGCAATAAGGAGTTAATAAATGCTAACTAGCATCTGATAATGTTAATTAAAATACACATAGAATTTTATACTTTGTAAAGCAATTTTAAATATATTATCTGGTTTATTTAAAAATATTTTTTTTCAAATACCACAAAAGGGGCAACAGCCACTATGGGACAAGCTGTGTTATAATTTGATGTCAAGAGCCCTTTGGGGAGTAATGATCTTTTAGAAATTCAAAATTAAATAAAAATTATACTACGTCAGTACTATAGCTTGTTATATGAACCTGGAAAACCTTATTTTTAAATGTTGGAGGTTGTTCGTTATATAGTCAGATATTCAGAGATTCATACCAAAAAAAAGGAGTGATTATGAAATTTGATTTGTCACCAGACCACCACAGAGTCATGTGTGTTGAACAGTCTGTCATTTTACGTCTTAGGTTAGATACAACCCCTGCAGAAGGGTTTCAAACTGGCCAAAGCCAGGGGTCACTGAGACTCAGTGAGGCCAAACTCTCTAGAAGTCTGAAACATATTAAAAAGTAAAGTCAGTAAAGAAAAAAAAGTCAGTAAGCAAAATATCTTGATGTTCCACAGAGTTGCTGGTTCCAGCCCCATGTAGTTTTTCTGTGGTTTGTTCTTTACTGTATTATCACTGAGTCAGCTGTTTGTCTGTCTTCTTGATGGACATCATTATCATTTTTTTGTTTCCTTTTCCCACAAATGCAGTAAGAATTAGGAAGCAGGGTAAGTTAGGTTTTCTTCCTGTGCTGTTGCATGTAGTTATTTTGGAAAGGTTCTATAAAACGGGAATGCTTCATTAAAGCTGAAAATGCCTTTTCGATTTCTTAGCATCATGTCAAAGGATGAGGTGGCATGGAGCAGCAGGGAGAGTTAGTGCCAGCGTAGGAAACAAGAAAGAGGTCAATGAAGAATCAGGGTGAAATACCGATAGCCTTTCTGAACTAGGACTCTAATCATTAAATCCATTGATCAAAAAAACTACAAAATGAAGTGCCCTACCTAGCAGTCTAAACCACCACTCACACATTTTCATAACAAATCAGAAGTGAATTTAGCTTGGTTGGGAGATTCCAAATTCTCTGATGGATAGAAATTTAGAACTTGAAAATACCTTGAAGTGATCTTCTATTCCAGCTCTCTGATTTACCAAACTTATGAAGACTGAGGCTCCTTCAGAAGAAAGGAGGTGATCTACTGAACTTAGCAAAGCCTTTCTGTTCAGGGTGGCCCAGGGACACCAGATCTGGAACTGAGGTTCCCCTTTGTTCTGCTTCTGACGTCACTGAAATGTACACATGACTCCAGTTTGACACAGAGGTTCTTCTACGGCTTTTAATTTGCACGCAGTTAAATTACCATATTCTACATTATATCATTTCTCCTCCTCTACACAGGCATCCTTTTTCTTTTTCTCTCACATTGCATTTGAATATTAAAAACTCATTACTTTCAGATACATTACTGTTGCTCTTATGGTATAAACTGACATCACCATATGACATAAGTAAAATTATTATAAATTATATTAATAAGTGTGAGATCAAAGATACGGTATCTTTAAAAACTTATAAGAATATAGGACAGGAAAAAAATACGTAAGATAAAATAGCAGACAATTAGCTTATTTTTAACTTTACATGTTAAGTAAAAGGTAAATATTCTCCACAATTCTAATATTCACATTATAGCTTAATGCTTATAATAAAAATTTTAAATAATTTCCACTAACAGTTTCAGTTAAACCTCTCTCATTTTTTTTCTCAATTTCTATCCTTTTACCTCATCCTGTTTTGGATTTACTCTACAAAGATTCATTTTTATTTGCATGGTTGAGAACCAGTATTTTCATAAATTTAATATATATTAAATTTTGAACTTTATTCCTTTACTGACTTGCTTCTAGTGTTCTAATCCGTTTGCCATTTTCAATGAAGCAATGCACCTTAGTTGAAATTCTGCTAAGTTAGAAATAGTTGACTGTTTTCAGAATATTTATTACCAAACACCAACAGAACTCGGTTGTCTTCAGGGCAAAGCATGACCAGACACATGTAGTATAATTCCTAAGATGTTTCAAACCTGGCATCTCCTTTAAAGTCTTAAATGAACCTAACTCCATCCTGAGTAAGGAATTAGCACTAATCTGGATTTTGATAAAACACAAATCTGCTTCCGTATTCTGGAAATGTGACACTGTGCAATTTTCCCATTGATGTTAGACACAGTCACATGCCTTGGTGATGGAGAGACATTCAGAGTTGGAGGGTGAATTTGCATGCAGGCTCTCACATTCTAAAGAGTTCTTATGTTCCCATAACCCAGGAACAGCAAGCAAGGTTGATGCGATGGGTTCCATCGGTAGCCACTGAATGTTCATTACTTACAAAAATAGCAGCCCTCCTCTCACACCAGTGACTTGTTTCCCTGCTCTGTGGTCAGTGTAACTTTCTCCTGAGGATGTTACATTTCTCAAAGTATAATTAATGGGTTTCCTTTAAAATATTTCATCGCTAAGTAGGAAATTTGACAAATTATGCTTGAGGAAAAGTCAATGTGATTAATTCAGACTTTTAGCAGATTTTGAAAATAAGTAGATATCGTAGTAAAAAGTGAATGTAAAAGCCTTTCACTTTTCTTCAAGTAGCCAGTGTGAACAAAACCGTGACCCTGTGTCTGAATGATGGATTTTTCTTTACCCCAATATAAGAAATTTTAATATGACACACAATCTTTTAAAATCTCTTGTTTTAGCACTTGGCTGGAATAGCAAAATTTATATACAAATAAAGTGAGGAAGAGAGGGGTAGGTATAGCTCAGTGGCAGAGCACGTGCTTAGCACACACGAGGTCCTGGGTTCAGTCCCCAGCACCTCCATTACAGAAAAAGAGAGAGAGAGGAAGAGATAGAAAAGGGGGATTTCTTCAGTTGGGGAAATAGTTCCATGTACACCCACATGTCCTTATGCTGTAGTCTACATTGCTTATTATTTGCCAAATATTAGAACATTTGTTCTGGTGGTCAGTACAATGCCAGAAAAATCTCCCACAGCTGGGTAAATTTTTATTGTATTAGAAACCAACTCATTCATAGTCTCTCATGGTCAAGCTATCATGTCAGTATTTGGAAACATTCTGATAATTACATAATTAGTTTCAGAAATAAGTAATATAGAAATTATGTTTGTACCCCAGTAATAGTATTAAAATCACATTCCACTATGTGTGCATATTAAATTTTTACATCTATTCTGTAAATAAAAAACAGTTCTGATTGAAATGAATCCTCTCAGTCAGCATCCTGCTATCAGATATGACAGAATTTGTTGGGAAACCGTTAACACGTTACTTTGAATACATTGTCTTAAATAATATTAATTTTAGGTCAAACTTGAAGTTACATAAATAGCTCAGTTCTGAACATAATAACAAATATGGATTTCCTTTTGGATTATTTAGCATATATGCCTTTCAAAAACAAATCAGACAATTATGAAAAAATTCTTTGGAAAGATAATTCTATGGATATTCTATAAATTTGGAATTGTTTTCACACTTGTTGTGAAATTCTTTGCCTAACAGCTACAAGTGAGAGGTGAAAAATTAACATTTTAATACCTTAAGCCTGAACTATTCTCATTTGAAGGATTATGAAATAAACATGACCCTTCCTCTAGGAGTTTTTTTAAAAAACATTATTGTCTTGTAGTCCTTTTGTATATACAGATCCACATTTTAGCATCGTTTCATTTAGTATTCTTTATCAAGACAACTGCATATACAAAATTTTAGAAAGTATTTACATCATTTTAGATTTATTAAAGCTCATGGAGGACAGAGGATAGGTGAGCTTTTCTACAAATTTAACAAACTTTTGATATTTTCACACCTTAGCGCATAAGTGCAAAATTAAATTGCTTGATATGAAACTTAAATACCCAGTGTTTGGTCATATGTTCCTTTTAGTTATATGTTCTTTTATTTTATGTAAGAAGTTATATTATCTTACCTTCCAGTATCTAACAATAGAAAATCAATTATATATTCGTTATTTATAAATTGCATACACTAGTATAACCTTACTATTTATTATGACTAAAACATATATAAAAATAATACAGACAATATAAAACTATTCACTGTGTCATACATTGCAATAAGAGAGTGCAGCAAAAAGAAGAGTGGATTAACTGCTTTGACACCTTTGCAAGTTGTAATCTTTTACCTAATGATTTCTAAGACATTTATCTTTAGTATTAATTTAGTAATGGATGACAATGAATATTAAACTATAAAGACACACTTAAATATAAGAGGTAGTGTATATTGAAATTTTAATAGGAATCCCATTTTTTTGCTTTCAAAACTTGGTGGAATCTTTTTTTTTTTTTTGAGTCATTTTTTAACTTCAAGTCTTTGTTGAATAGTTAAATCTGAAAATGACTAATTACACCATGATAGAAAGTCAAAGTCCAGTTTTTTCTTCCACTGCTGTCCTTATCTCTGGCACAGCCTTTAATATCAGCCTTTTTTGTAGAGAGTTATATTTTTGGATGAAATTTCAAGTGTGATGTCTAGAGTAGGGAAAGTGTGTAGGGAAACTGAGTGTACGTTTTAGAAAGACTCAGGAGGCACAGGCAGACAGAAACAGTCTGTACCATGGATAGTGTAGAAGATGAGTAGAATTTGTAGCCAATAATGAAAACCACAGCAAGAAAAAATAAATTGATATACTAGAAAAAAATAATACAATTTTGATGTTTTGACACTTGTGTAAATAAGTTCTGCAATGATTTTACACCTAAGCATTTACATTTTTGAGTCTTTTATACTTCAGTCCTTATAAGCCACTTCTTACCATTCAAAGGATGTGGGATTTTTGTATTGGAAATCATGGACTGCATTTAGTGTTTGGATGATTGGAGGTCCCACCCCTGTTTTTATGAAGGGGCACTTTGACTTGACGTGGGCAAAGCCGTCGTGAACTTCGCCGTGTATGTCTCTGTGGTCCATGATCTGATGATGGAGCTCACGCTTTCTTGTTTTTAATCTTTAGTATAACATTCATAAAGATCAGTACAGAAGCTGTGATAACGTCTCTGCCAAGTCATCAGATAGTGATGTCAGCGATGTGTCCGCCGTTTCCCGAACCAGCAGTGCCTCCCGCCTCAGCAGTACAAGCTTCATGTCTGAGCAGTCTGAGCGCCCCCGGGGTAGGATCAGGTGAGTGGGCAATGCTGTTTGTACAAATCAGGCCTTCATCCGCGGGATGCAAATGCACCTAGCTTCATGAATATTCTTGCTAAACTACCGTTCAGTTCAAGCTGCAAAACATTGCATTAAAATAACTGGGACTAGCGTGGGTTGAGAAGTTACTAACTATTGTGTAATATTGCCTAGACTGTTGGGTACCATCTACTATCAGGTATAATTTATAACTGTTGTCATAATTCTGGAGATGGCTCCAAGTCACAGTCACAGGAGTTTCTTCTAAGATGATTAAATCCACACAGTGTTCTGTGGACCACAAAGTCCAGTGTCAGAAAGCTCTCTCCATGAAGGGCCATGTAGTAAACATTTCAGGCTATGCAGGACAGTCTCTTTTCCAACTACTTTTCAGTGTCATTGTGGTACAGAAACTGCAGACAAGTGAGCATAGTTGTATTCCAGTACAATTTTATTTGTAAAAAAAAAACAAAAAACAGAAAGCAGGCTGTGTTTCCCCATGGGCCGCATTGTGCTGGTCTCTTCTTTAATCCCAAAGCAGTTGGTCTGCCTTCAGATGGACATGATAACAAAATACGCATCCCTATTTTACATTATGTGTGTGATAAAAAATTTGCATGAAGTTTGCTTAAATAATTCTGCTGAAGAGAAAAGACCTCAGGTATCCAATCCTGCCCTAAGCAAAGCAGACTCAATATGGACAGGGGGTATTTTATATTTGTTCTTAATGAGTTTTCAGAAATAGAAGTTTCACTGAAGGAGTTTTGTGGTTGATGAGAGATCCAAGAGATAAAAATGCTCAAAATAGGAACAATTATCTTTCTAATAATCTGGAAATCTAATATTATTGCACATTTTGATGTTTTAGAATAAAATGTATCTTAGAGCTTTCCATCTTCCTGGGTTTTTCTGCACCTACCTCATACGTTGGAGCCGATTGAGAACACTTATCTTACTGTTAATTAACAATGACATTCTCTGAGACTCTACATGAGCAAGTCCAATCAATAAATACATTAATAGAAAAAAAAAGGTTTTATCTCTACTTCTAATGTTCTCAGCATCCGGTCCTAACAATATTAAGTTCTCTAAAATTAAAGGAAGAATTAAAAGACCTAAGTATGTAGCCACATTAAGCTGTTGGGATAAAGAGGTAAAAATTATTCTAATTGATTCCTTTTTACTGAAATATTTTTAAGATATTATTTCAAAACCTATTCAATTTAGCAAGAATATTGATACGTAGGGTTTAAACGAAGACCTTTTGCTTTTAATTACTGAAAGCAGTTTACTAATAGTTACAAAACCGTAAAGCTTAAAGCAATTTTGTTTATGTTCTATGCTATAAAGTATGATGATTTAATTGAACATTTATTACTAACCAACTGTGAAAACAATATATGGGTCCATTGTCATTCTCTTGAAGTTTCAGGAAAATGGATTCTTCAAAAATTAATCGTCAGGAAAAATTTGGCTACATGATTTTTGAGGAAGAAAGTAAAGAATAGAAAACTTTTAGGCAGCTCAACAAGGAACTAGAATCTACCTGGGAGTGTACTGGAGCCAAGGTTACTCTGTGGGAAATTGAAGGTGATGGGGAGGAGGGCAGACCTGAAAGGATACAAATAAATTTCTTAATGACGAATCCGTTTTCTCTGGGCGTTTCCCTGTTTTCAGCTCCCCTTTCTCTTCTTTGTAGTTTCGATCACATCTGAGCTGAGAGTTATCTTTATGTAAGTGGATGACATTGGTTTAGGCAGCAAAGCTAATGGCTAAATAAGTTTCCCCCGAAACTAACATAAAGAAGCATATTTCCTGTAGTCCCGTACTTTAGGTCCGGGATTCTTCATACGTGGTGCATATTTGATTTTTTAGAACATTTAGGAGGAATAAAGAAGGTGCAGTGAGATATGGGAAAGGACCAGCCTTTCTTCTGACATTCAGAGCCCAGTTATATGTTTATGTACATTCTTCTCCCTGAATATCCTCATAGGCAGGCATGCATGAGCGCGCGCGCGCGCGCACACACACACACACACACACACACACACACACACACACACACAGAGGTATGCCATGTCTACTATCAACCATGTGGTAAAAACCTAAGAGAAGGGTTTGTAATGGAAAAAAAAAAGAACAAAATGACATCAGAGGGTTGCAGGCTTTTCTGCCTTAAATATTCCCTATTCCCATAAAACTGTGAGTAATGATTATTCTCAATATATGACTGCTTCTTATTTCTTTTTTTTAATAACTAACACCTGCCTAAGTTTTAAAATTCTGTTTATTCAAACTCATGGTTAAAAGATGAAAAATCTGATCAGTATGATAGTAGACGTATTTATATTTCATAACTGGTAGCAGCCAATTCTCCAATGAAGACATACAAATAGCCAATGAAAAATTGCTCAGTATTGCTGATTATCAGAGAAATGCAACGCAAAACTACAATGAGGTATCACCTCATACCAGACATCATTTAAGAGTCCACAAAGGATAAATGCTGGGGAGGGTGTAGAGAAAAGAGAACCCTCCTATGCTGTTGGTAGGAATGTAGTTTGGTGTAGCCATTATGTAAAATAGTTGGAGATTCCTTAAAAAACTAGAAATAGACTTACCATATGATGCAGCAATCCCACTCCTGGGCATATATCCAGAGGGAACTCTAATTAAAAAAGACACATGCACCCCAATGTTCACAGCAGCACTATTTACAATAGCCAAGACATGGAAACAAGCTAAATGTCCATTGACAGATGACTGGGTTAGGACATTGTGGGGGGAGTGTGTGTGTGTGTGTTGATTTCTGTTTTGATACGATCACTAACCAGTAAAAGAACTGCAGTAAGTACACAGCTTCTGCAGAACTTAATTTATTTTCCTGTTTAACGGTTCACTCACTCATCCATTCATTCACCAGCCATTTATTGAGCACCTATTACATTGAGGGACCACACTTGGTACCCACTATATGCTGCAAAGCAAAACGGACGTGATCCCTCGCTCTGTGGTTTTAAATGACTCTTAATATATATGAAACTTTATTATGTGTGTATTCATCTGAAAAATGAGAACCATATCCACCACTTGCACCCCACAGGAGTGAGTGAGAAAAAGTGATGAGTGTGTCAGATTGCCCTCGATGCAGAGTTACACTGTATGATTGTAGCTCAGTTTCTTCCTACAAGATGTGAATATTCAGTGAGTTACTCTGAACTTTTTAAAGTTATCCCTAACGTGTCTTAGAGGCAGGTGGCCACCACGGTGTATGACACAACACCTTTCAAAATCTGGATTTTATTATTCATGCTTAATTTTTCCACCTCGCTTTATGATTTATGATGAGCGGGATGAATGTAAGTGTTGGTTTGGAGAAGTTCAGTTTCATTAGCATGAAGGTTTTCAGGTCATACTCTCAATTGCAGGTGTTCGAATGAACATTACTACCTCTGCATGTTCCCGCGTACACATATACATGTTTGAAACAGAAGAAGAAATAAAAGATGAAGAGAAGACTTAGAGAGCAGGGCTCACGCTTAATCCTTCCACTAGAGCAGTTTTACAAGTAGTTGTTTCATCCACTGAAGACTCATTAAAAATATTATTTTAAAAAAAGTAAAGAGTCCCAGTCTATCCCTTCCCACCCTCCACCCCCCTGGTAACCACAAGTCTGTATTCTCTGTGAGTCTATTTCTGTCCTGTATTTATGCTTTGTTTTTGTTTGTTTGTTTGTTTGTTTTTGTTTTTGTTTTTTAGATTCCACATATGAGCGATCTCATATGGTATTTTTCTTTCTCTTTCTGACTTACTTCACTTAGAATGACGTTCTCCAGGAGCATCCATGTTGCTGCAAATGGCGTTATGTTGTCAGTTTTTATGGCTGAGTAGTATTCCATTGTATAAATATACCACCTCTTCTTTATCCAGTCACCTGTTGATGGACATTTAGGCTGTTTCCATGTTTTGGCTATTGTAAATAGTGCTGCTATGAACATTGGGTTAAAATTGTAGAATAGATAAACAAGATTACACTGTATAGCACAGGGAAATATACACAAAATGTTATGATAACTCACAGAGAAAAAAAATGTGACAATGAGTGTGTATATGTCCATGAATGACTGAAAAATTGTGCTGAACACTGGAATTTGACACAACATTGTAAAATGATTATAAATCAATAAAAAATGTTAAAAAAAAAAGTAAAGAGGACAGATCACTGCCTTAGAAGCAAATTGTAAACCAAGCTATGTGGCACAGCAAATTCTGGCGCAATGATGTGCAGGAAAAAAATTAAAATATGAGATCCAGTTCTAATTCTTTAGCTATTAAGTATTCTGAACTCAGATAAGTACCTTGATTTGGCCGACAGTTTTTATATTATGTTGGCAAGTCTTTGGTATAATACAGTGAGGAAAAAGCTCTAATTTCAAAGAAAAAGAAAACTTGCAGACTGTTTGGTTTCTATCAGGTTATTGGTCCATTTTCCCACAGCACATTTTGTGTCTTAATCATGCGCTTGATGTATGAAATAGAAGAGGTACTTGTGATTGCTTTAAGCATGTTAGCTTTACATAGTATAATAACAGTCTGTCCAAAGGAATATATTTTATTTTCAAATTCATGGCTTCAGCACATAGTAAACAGACTTCATTCTACGCTTGGTATATGTTAAATTTACAACAATAAGGTAAAAAATTTAAAAGGCTTTTTTATTTTTCTAGAAAATCATCATGTAGAGCTGTCTTTCTTTACTCATTTTAAAATATGGTTACCTTGATTTTAGAGGCCATCCTAAAGCATCGACACTATAGCCAAATCTGTATTGATCAACACTTGCTTATTGAATACATACGTCATGTCCCATATAGTGAATCAAGAAACTGTAGACCCATAGAACTTGAAAGATTCTCAAGAGACCATATATGCTGGCTTCCTATAATTAGTGGAAACATTTTCTAAGTTATCTGAATCATCCAGAATAATTGGTGGTC